TCATTGCGGATATCGAGAACAAAGGGCCATAATACACCTTCTTTCCCGATAGAGTAGGGCGATAAATTCGTCGCAGGAGACTGCTCGATGCGACCCGGAAGAAAAATTTGATACTTTGTGTTTTGGGGAAAAAGTGGTTTTTGGTTTTGATGGAAACTAATTTCACTGAACTCCTGGAATAGATTCTATTTGAACTGACCTACAATTTTAGAATAAATATTAATCCTAGACATTATTTTGCGAGTTATTTTGTCTTCACTCCACTATTTCTCGATACAGAGTGTTGTTGTCATTGCCTTGTTTCAGAAACTGGCAATGTTGCCTTGTTTTCTAATACACAGTATTACCAACTTTATATAGATATTAACAAAAATGGAATCTGAACACCTGGAATAGATTCTATTCTATTTGAACTGACCTACAATTTTAGAATAATTAATAATCCTAGATATTGTTTTGTCTTCATTTCACTGTTTTTCGATACACAGTGTTGTTGTCATTACCTTGTTTCAAAAAATGGCAATGTTATCTTGCTCTCTGACACACACTATTACCAACTTTATATAGAAATTAACAAAAATGAAATCTGAACATCTGGAATAGATTCTATTTGAACTAACCCACAATTTTAGAATAATTAATAATCCTAGGTATTGTTTTGTCTTCACCCTACTGTTTCTCGATACACAGAGTTGTTGTCATTGTCTTGTGTCACAAATTGGCAACGTTGCCTTGCTCTCTGACACACAGTATTACCAACTTTATACAAACATTGACAAAAATGGAATCTGAACACCTGTAATAGATTCTATTTGAACTGACCTACAATTTTAGAATACTTATTAATCCTTAACATTGTTTTATCTTCACTCCACTGTTTCTCGATACACAAATACAGTGTTGTTGTCACTGCCTTGTTCCAGATACTGGCAACGTCGCCTTGCTCTCTGACACACAGTATTACCAACTTTATACAAACATTGACAGAAATGGAATCTGAACACCTGGATTCGATTCTATTCGAACTGACTTACAATTTTAGAATACTTATTAATCCAGGACATTGTTTTGTCTTCACTCCATTGTTTCTCGATATAGAGTGTTATTGTCATTGCCTTGTTTCAGAAACTGTAACGTTGCCTTGTTCTCTGATACAAAGTATTACCAACTTTATACAGATATTAGGATTCAAAAACTATAAAGCTAATCAAATTGAATTTGGTCGATTTCATCTTCCACTGTAAATTCAAATCGAATTTTACCGTCAATTTAACAAAACATGTTTCGGTTAACTACCTACTGTTAAGGGTTTAAGCTTCGCCATCCCGGCCATACTGTGCTGCGCGACCCTCAATTTAAACTTTAAAGGCCTCTCATCCAGCGCAATCCTCTCTTGGCTTGTGAAATTCTTATGAAGGGTGAAAAATTGTTGCTTTCTGGATCAATATAGAGATGAATCGTCATTAAATTATAATGATTATTAAGTTTGGGAAGGACCTTTGCATGGACAAAACTCTCTTTATTATATATAGCTAAATTTTTGCCTGGATTATGGTGTACGGGTGCGTTCCGCATCCTTATCTACAACTTTGGGGTCGAATTAGCCTCAGTGAACTGACAGTTTGTTTAGGTACATAATCAAGAACCGATAATAGTTTAAATTTTTCATTCATTGCATCCAGACCAAGCGAATTTCTTTCCATTTACAAACCCTATAATTACCACCCATAGACAAAACAATTTTTTGGTTTTTCAATGTCTAATTTCATACAATGAAATCTGACTGTGAACTTTCTAGCTGATAACTATGTAACATGGGAAAAAGTATCTAAAATAATTAATAATCTTAGCTAGAATCCATATATTATACACTTTAAACTAAAACTAAATAAAAAAAATTATCATACCTTGATTTGTATTTAATTTCCAATATTGGTAGGTGTTGAGCTACTCAGACAGTCCCCACCACTTCACTTTTAACCCCTCCTAGACTAACATCATCTGTCGGTAGCAGTTTGCGCCATCTATCCTCTATCACTCACACCATCTGTCATTCGTATCATCTGAGCATGTGGTCATTCATCTACAATTTTCAAAACCCATATAATATAAAATTGACAGTTCCCAGAGGGGTATCTTTTGTAAAAAAATTCCATTTTAATATAATATTGAAGTATGTATTCCGGTCTGTTGCCCACTATACGAGACGGTCATCGCGTTACAACCCCATTAAAACTCGTCAGGTGCAAAATTGACCCTTTATATTAAGCCCTTTTGACCCTATAAAACGACTCTCTCGCCCTCGGCTCCGGCATTGCGATGATCGGCCAACGTTGCCGGGATTCTCCATTGATTTAAAAGAGAAAAAAAAAACTAATGGCACGGTCGAGTTTGTAATTTATTCGAGGAACTTTTTTCCGTTTCAGATTGGAGCTCCGCTCTGGAGTTGTTGGTCGCACCTATAAAACCGAAATAAATTAGAAACTTTGCTTTTTTTTTTCAATTTGTGATCGAATGCGTCGCAGCACTTCGCTAGTGTTCTGGAAAAACTTTCAACGACAATTCGTTCAAGTGGAAATTGAAATGGATTTTTGTTCTGTTGATTATTTATTGATGTTGCGATACCGAGACTTAAATTACATTTTTATTCAATTCTCGTCTCGAATCGGAATCATAGAAATCGTGACGTGATGAAATTCTCTAGTCGGTCAAATCATTACAATATTATGCAGTACAGTTACCGTATTATCGACAGCTAAAGGTACTCCCAACATCAGAAAAGGCCAATTTTGAACACAAATATTTTAGATAATCAGGTTCACGCGCCTGAAGCACCGACTATGAAAACAACAGGCGAATTGAAAAGTCACAAACTGACACACTCGGATATTTATTCTTTTGAATGTAACACTTGCAAAGCAAAATTTAAATGAAAACTCGACTTGAAGAATCACCAACTGATACACTCGCATATTTTTCCTTTGGAATGTGACACTTGCAAAGCAAAATTTAAACGAGAAGCCGAATCGAAGAATCACAAACTAACACATTTGGATAGGTATTTATCCTTTTGAATGTGACACTTGCAAAGCCAAATTTAAACGAAAACTCGACTTGAAGAATCACCAAGTGAAACACTCGGATATTTTTCTTTTCGAATGTGACACTTGCAAAGCAAAATTTGAACGAAAAGGCGTTTTGAAGAATCACAAACTAACACATTTGGATAGGTATTTATCCTTTTGAATGTGACACTTGCAAAGCCAAATTTAAACGAAAACTCGACTGAAGAGTCACCAAGTGAAACACTCGGATATTTTTCTTTTTGAATGTGACACTTGCAAAGCAGAATTTGAACGAAAAGGCGTTTTTACGTACTCACTTTACGCACTATTCAGAAGACGTAAAATTGCACTTCACGCACTAGTGCGTAAGGTAATTCACTTCACACACTAGTGCGTGAAGTGATGTCAATGACAGATGTTGACACTGTCAATTTGGCATTTTTCTGGTAAATTATTTCACGCACTAGTACGTAAAGTAAAAATTCTTTACGCACTAGTGCGTAAAGCATTTGTCTAAATTTATTTTTTACACGTATTTGATTGGTAGTGGAAAAAAATGTGTATGCAATTCGTGCGTAAAGCACCTTTTTTCACTAATGTGATTGTCGCACTCGCCTACGGCTCGTGCATCAAAATTCACATTCGTGAAAAAAGGTTCACTTTACACACTTGTTGCATAAATAACTATTTGAAGAATAACAAACTAACACATTTGGATAGGTATTTATCCCTTTGAATGTGACACTTGCAAAGCCAAATTTAAACGAAAACTCGACTTGAAGAGTCACCAAGTGAAACACTCGGATATTTTTCTTTTTGAATGTGACACTTGCAAAGCAAAATTTAAACGAAAAGGCGTTTTGAAGAATCACAAACTAACACATTTGGATAGGTATTTATCCTTTTGAATGTGACACTTGCAAAGCCAAATTTAAACGAAAACTCGACTGAAGAGTCACCAAGTGAAACACTCGGATATTTTTCTTTTTGAATGTGACACTTGCAAAGCAGAATTTGAACGAAAAGGCGTTTTTACGTACTCACTTTACGCACTATTCAGAAGACGTAAAATTGCACTTCACGCACTAGTGCGTAAGGTAATTCACTTCACACACTAGTGCGTGAAGTGATGTCAATGACAGATGTTGACACTGTCAATTTGGCATTTTTCTGGTAAATTACTTCACGCACTAGTACGTAAAGTAAAAATTCTTTACGCACTAGTGCGTAAAGCATTTGTCTAAATTTATTTTTTACACGTATTTGATTGGTAGTGGAAAAAAATGTGTATGCAATTCGTGCGTAAAGCACCTTTTTTCACTAATGTGATTGTCGCACTCGCCTACGGCTCGTGCATCAAAATTCACATTCGTGAAAAAAGGTTCACTTTACACACTTGTTGCATAAATAACTATTTGAAGAATCACAAACTAACACATTTGGATAGGTATTTATCCTTTTGAATGTGACACTTGCAAAGCCAAATTTAAACGAAAACTCGACTTGAAGAGTCACCAAGTGAAACACTCGGATATTTTTCTTTTTGAATGTGACACTTGCAAAGCAAAATTTAAACGAAAAGGCGTTTTGAAGAATCACAAACTAACATATTTGGATATCTATCCTTTTGAATGTGATACTTGCAAAAAACCAAAATATTTTTGGGCCAATGAGTAGTAGAAAACCTGCATCAGGCATTCTAGGATGGACAAAACTGCCACCCTTGTACCAGTTGCGTTTGACCGACACGCGTGTACTCCCGGGTAAAGGAGGTACTGCCACGCTCTAAAATTTGTTTGTCACCTTTATTTTATAGGTACATAGCAAAGCAAGTGGTTAATTATTATAATTCGGGACAAATCCCAGTCTTGGAAATGAATCAACCATTATTTGCGTTAGCTAAACAAATACAACTAAATGATGTTTGAAATTTAGGAGAAAATAAAATTGTAGTTATGTTAGAAGGTCTTCATGTCAAAATAGCATTGTGGTCTGCCATCGGAAGTCTTCTAGACGGAAGTGTTATTATAAATATTTTGATTGATTCTTCTACTGTAACTAGTAGAAAGGCCGATGCTTTCCTGAAAGTCAGCCACCAACCAGAAGAACACATCAGCAGATTTGTATAGCTTTATATTGTTTATTAAACGAAGCAATCGAAGCATATTCCTTAAATTCATCTACTCTAGAATTTAGTGTGTGGTGTAGTAAAAATGCTTAAGCTATTCCTAATTTAAATTTTTGGTTACTTACTTTAAACTTCCAAATTAATGTTTTGAAATTTCACCAAATGGCACCAAAATGTCGTTTCTATCTTTTTCCGTTTTTGAGAAAAATGATAAAGCCTAAAACAATCCACTAATCAAATTTGAGGGGGGTGGAGGGGGGTCGGCATGACTTTTTGAGATGGGTCTGTTCAAAAATCTACTAATTCTGACATGTTCTTTCACTTGTGAAAAGGATTTGCTTTTACTCAAAAACCGAAGTATCAAGCTATTTTTGGGCCACAAGTCACTAGGTATATTATTAAAGTCACAGAATAATGTTAAATCATCCTTTCAATACAAGTTTTACCGTATATCAAAGTCCCTTAAATCAGGGGTGATCTTAAGCCATCTGAATGAACTGATTTCAAGTTCACCTTAACGTTAAGTATCTTAGGTAAGTCTGGATTTTAAGGTAACATAGTCTCAGAACTTATCTGAATTAAGATCATTTAAAATGATTTTGGAATTAGATTGTGCTGAATTAAAGATCTGAGACTAAAAGCCTCTAGAGATCCTTAAGGCGCTGGAAATTTCAGAGACTATAGATAAAGTTCTTAACCTCTTGAAGAGTCCAAAAATTTCAAAATTTTTGAGGTGTCTCTATGGGCTTATAACCCAAGATTGAATATGCAAAAGATGTCGGAAACTCAAGAAGACTATAAAGATACTAGTAATGCGAAACCTGAGTCTGATTGACTAACACCTCTAAAGATTGAGAAATTTAAAAACACGAGACAGATTTGAAATCTTCAAAAACTCCATTTTTCGAGATTCTAGAATGAAATATCCTAGAAACGTCTTGGAAATTCAAAAATCTTTACAGATCTTGAAGTGTTAGACTATGAAAATCCAACGATTCTAAAGACTCATTACTTAGGAATCATTTAAAATGATTTTGGAATTAGATTATGCTGAATTAAAGATCTCAAACTAAAAGCCTCTAGAGATCCTTAAGGCGCTGGAAATTTCAGAGACTATAGGTAAGGTTTTTAACCTCTTGAAGAGTCCAAAAATTTCAAAATTTTTGAGGTGTCTCTATAGGCTTATAACCCAAGATTGAATATGCAAAAGATGTCGGAAACTCAACAAGACTATAAAGATACTACTAATTCGAGACCTGAGTCTGACTAACTAACACCTCTGAAGATTGAGAAATTTAAAAACACGAGACAGACTTAAAATCTTCAAAAACTCCATTTTTCGAGATTCTAGAATGAAATATCCTAGAAACATCATAGAAGTTCAAAAATCTCTACAGATCTTGAAGTCTTAGACTATGAAAATCCAATGACTTTATCGATTCTAAAGAATCATTACTTGAGAACTTAGAATGAAAACTACTGAAGAAAAACATAGAGACTTCAAAGATAAGGCACTTGATTTCCTGAAGATTCTAAAGACTCTAAAGAAAAGTTCAAAGATCCATAATTTGAAACCAAACACTTTGAAGGTTTCACTGAAGGCTTTATTTTGGAAGATTCTATATTCTCTATAGGCTTAAAACCCAAGATTGAATCTGCAGAAGATTAGAAGATATCGGAAACTCAAGAAAACTATAAAGATATTACTAATTCGAGATCTGAGTCTGACTGACTAACACTTCTGAAGATTGAGAAATTTAAAAACACGAGACAGATTCAAAATCTTCAAAAACTTCATTTTTCGAGATTCTAGCATGAAATATCCTAGAAACGTCATGGAAGTTTAAAAATCTCTACAGATCTTGAAATGTTAGACTATGAAAATCCAACGACTTTATAGATTCTAAAGACTCATTACTTAAGAACTTAGAATGAAAACAACTGAAGAAAAACATAGAGACTTCAAAGATAAGGCACTTGATTTCCTGACGATTCTAAAGACTCAGAAAAGTCCAAAGGTTCATAATTTGAAACCAAATACTTAGAAGATTTCACTGAAGGCTTTATTTTGATGTTATATTCTCTATAGGCTTATAACTCAAGATTGAATATGCAGAAGATTAGAAGATATCGGAAACTCAAGAAAACTATAAAGATAATACTAATTCGAGACCTGAGTCTGACTGACTAACACCTCTGAAGATTGAGAAATTTAAAAACACGAGACAGTCTTAAAATCTTCAAAAACTCCATTTTTCGAGATTCTAGAATGAAATATCCTAGAAACATCATAGAAGTTCAAAAATCTCTACAGATCTTGAAGTCTTAGACTATGAAAATCCAATGACTTTATCGATTCTAAAGAATCATTACTTGAGAACTTAGAATGAAAACTACTGAAGAAAAACATAGAGACTTCAAAGATAAGGCACTTGATTTCCTGAAGATTCTAAAGACTCTAAAGAAAAGTTCAAAGATCCATAATTTGAAACCAAACACTTTGAAGGTTTCACTGAAGGCTTTATTTTGGAAGATTCTATATTCTCTATAGGCTTAAAACCCAAGATTGAATCTGCAGAAGATTAGAAGATATCGGAAACTCAAGAAAACTATAAAGATATTACTAATTCGAGATCTGAGTCTGACTGACTAACACTTCTGAAGATTGAGAAATTTAAAAACACGAGACAGATTCAAAATCTTCAAAAACTTCCTTTTTCGAGATTCTAGCATGAAATATCCTAGAAACGTCATGGAAGTTCAAAAATCTCTACAGATCTTGAAGTGTTAGACTATGAAAATCCAACGACTTTATCGATTCTAAAGACTCATTACCTGAGAACTAAGAATGAGAACTACTGAAGAAAAAAAGAGACTTCAAAGATAAGGCACTTGATTTCCTGACGATTCTAAAGACTCAGAAAAGTCCAAAGGTTCATAATTTGAAACCAAATACTTAGAAGATTTCACTGAAGGCTTTATTTTGATGTTATATTCTCTATAGGCTTATAACTCAAGATTGAATATGCAGAAGATTAGAAGATATCGGAAACTTAAGAAAACTATAAAGATAATACTAATTCGAGACCTGAGTCTGACTGACTAACACCTCTGAAGATTGAGAAATTTAAAAACACGAGACAGATTCAAAATCTTCAAAAACTTCATTTTTCGAGATTCTAGAATGAAATATCCTAGAAGCGTCATGGAAGTTTAAAAATCTCTACAGATCTTGAAATGTTAGACTATGAAAATCCAACGACTTTATAGATTCTAAAGACTCATTACTTAAGAACTTAGAATGAAAACAACTGAAGAAAAACATAGAGACTTCAAAGATAAGGCACTTGATTTCCTGACGATTCTAAAGACTCAGAAAAGTCCAAAGGTTCATAATTTGAAACCAAATACTTAGAAGATTTCACTGAAGGCTTTATTTTGATGTTATATTCTCTATAGGCTTATAACTCAAGATTGAATATGCAGAAGATTAGAAGATATCGGAAACTCAAGAAAACTATAAAGATAATACTAATTCGAGACCTGAGTCTGACTGACTAACACCTCTGAAGATTGAGAAATTTAAAAACACGAGACAGTCTTAAAATCTTCAAAAACTCCATTTTTCGAGATTCTAGAATGAAATATCCTAGAAACATCATAGAAGTTCAAAAATCTCTACAGATCTTGAAGTCTTAGACTATGAAAATCCAATGACTTTATCGATTCTAAAGAATCATTACTTGAGAACTTAGAATGAAAACTACTGAAGAAAAACATAGAGACTTCAAAGATAAGGCACTTGATTTCCTGAAGATTCTAAAGACTCTAAAGAAAAGTTCAAAGATCCATAATTTGAAACCAAACACTTTGAAGGTTTCACTGAAGGCTTTATTTTGGAAGATTCTATATTCTCTATAGGCTTAAAACTCAAGATTGAATATGCAGAAGATTAGAAGATATCGGAAACTCAAGAAAACTATAAAGATAATACTAATTCGAGACCTGAGTCTGACTGACTAACACCTCTGAAGATTGAGAAATTTAAAAACACGAGACAGATTCAAACTCTTCAAAAACTTCATTTTTCGAGATTCTAGAATGAAATATCCTAGAAGCGTCATGGAAGTTCAAAAATCTCTACAGATCTTGAAATGTTAGACTATGAAAATCCAACGACTTTATCGATTCTAAAGACTCATTACCTGAGAACTAAGAATGAGAACTACTGAAGAAAAAAAGAGACTTCAAAGATAAGGCACTTGATTTCCTGACGATTCTAAAGACTCAGAAAAGTCCAAAGGTTCATAATTTGAAACCAAATACTTTGAAGATTTCACTGAAGGCTCTATTTTGGAAGATTCTATATTCTCTATAGGTTTATAACCCAAGATTGAATATGCAGAAGATTAAAAGATATCGGAAACTCAAGAAAACTATAAAGATAATACTAATTCGAGACCTGAGTCTGACTGACTAACACCTCTGAAGATTGAGAAATTTAAAAACACGAGACAGATTCAAACTCTTCAAAAACTTCTTTTTTCGAGATTCTAGAATGAAATATCCTAGAAGCGTCATAGAAGTTCAAAAATCTCTACAGATCTTAAAGTGTGAAAATCCAACGATTCTAAAGACTCATTACTTAAGAACTTAGAATGGAAACTACTGAAGAAATACATAGAGCCTTCAAAGATAAGGCACTTGATTTCCTGAAGATTTTAAAGACTCAGGAAAGTCCAAAGGTTCATAATTTGAAACCATTAATACTTTGAAGATTTTACTGAAGGCTTTACTTTGGAAGATTCTAGAGTAAAAGTTTTAAAGGCTCTACTGAATTGAAACCTAAGAATTATTCTGAATATGTAAAAGAAAGACGCCAATTGTTGATTTGAAGTCTCCTATAAGACTTTAGAGATAACTGAAGATATCAAAGATTGATTGATCACCCAAAACAAACATTCAATGCTCAGACATTCTGAAGGCTTTGATGAAGACTCA